CAGTAATATTTTCTGTCCCATACACTCTTCTGTGATATGTGTTTGATACTCTCTCATCAAGGTCAAGAGAGAGAGTCTCTCTTTCCACCCTCTTGAATCTGGACAGGCCATATGATGGCTTCAACCAATAGCATATGGTGGTTTAATGCTGAGGCAGTTCTGGAAGTAGCTGTTAACTGGCCTGGCAGCTTCTTCTTTTTACTTGGAAGCTAGTTAAGTGTGACTGCCAAGAGATCACCAGGCTGTGAGAAGCCCAAGTTTGGCAGAAAGGACTTGGAGAATGAGATGCAACATACAGAAAGAGAGAGGCCAAGGAGATGCCAGGTATGTGAGTGAAGAAGCCATCTTGGATGTCCTGCCCAATCGAGGCTTCACCTAACACCAGCTCCAGCTGCAACTGACTGCAGCCACGTGAGACACCCCAAGAGTAAATCACTCAGCTTATCCCAGACAACTCACAGAACCATGAGAAATAATACAATGTTTTGAAACACTACATTTTGAGCTAGTATGTTATGAAGCAATAAATAACCAGAATATAATTTGGTGCCAGAGGCAAGCTCTTAAGATTCTTAAAAGTCGTTTTGTCTGAAGAGTGTTAGAAGACATAACCTTATGATCCTAAGAAGTCATTTTCTAGTTGAGAGATTCTATAAAGCATCACCTTATTTTTTCCTGGGTGTTAACAAAATGTGTTAAGTTGTACCTTTGATCTGAATGTAATCCTAAGGCTACATTTTATAGGAATTTCATCTGTGCCATGAGCCTATTTCTTATTTTGAGAAACTTTTGCTGGTAGGAAAGCTGGAAATGAAAAGAACTTCTATTTTCAAACACTTTAAGGCCTGACTCCTCTATATTACCTCTGTTTGCGAATTGAACGATTCCTTCTTTAACTCATCTCTATTTATATCTTACCATAAAGAGATAAAAGAAACTAGTTAGCACTTTTGATAATCTGCCTGAGAATTTCCTTAGCCAGTTCCACCAGTTCATTGGGTATATTTTCGCTTTTCATGTTGCGCAGGTAACAGTTTTGCTAAACTTCCTGCCACTTCATAAGATTTCTCACCTTTTCTCCAGCCTCCAATAACAATTTTCTCACTTTCCTTCCAGCTTCCACTTACATATTTCTAGAGGCTCTTCAATCTCTGTTTCTGGCTCGTCCCAAGGCCAACGCTATATGTTTTAGGTTTTGGATTTGGTAGCACCCCACTTCTTAAATCAATTTCTGTTGTGATTATTTATTGTGGCAAAACAAACTGCTCCAAAACTTAGTGGATTAAAGCAATGAGCATTTTATTATGTATCACAATGCTGTGTGTTGACTATGAATAGTTGAGTATTTTTCTACTCTATGTGATATCAACCAGGGCTGTGATCATCTGGTGTCTCAATCAGCTGGGACATCAAAGGCATCTCATTCAGACACATGACTAGCGGTTAATGAGAGGACTCAGCTGGATAGAACTTCCATGTACCCCTCCATGTGATCTAGGCTTCTCACACCTTGGTGGCTGGATTCCTAGAGGAGGTAACATAAGAACAAACATTCTTGGAAAGACAAATAGAAACTACAAGACTTCTTATGACCTAGTTTCAGGAGTTACTCAGTGTCACTTCCACCATATTCTCTTGATCAAAGCAAGTTACATAGCTAGCTCACATTTGAGGTGAGGACACTACACAAAGGCATAAATTCTAGGAGTCATTGTTCATTTGGACCCATCTTTGGAGACCAGTGACTTAGGTGGTTAGAGACTTGATGGAAACAGCTTTGATGAAAATGTGGTTAAGATGAATTACATGAGGTCTGATTGTTGGTTGGCAAGTTGTCCTTATTCTGGAGCTTAGGTGAAGAGAATAGTGGTGAATTAGCCTTTGTCTAGATCCATCATCTGAGAAGTAACTATATCCAATTAGCAATGGACAGGGCTTGCTGGCCATAAAGCACAGATAACCTTTAGTCTCTGACCATGTTTCTTCCACAGTGGCATCAAGCAGTTTTTTTAATGAGACCTATTGAGATGTACTGACAGGTCTTTTCTTTTCCTTTCACGTCTGGTTTATCCACTTCCATGTTATTGCTTTATCAAGATATAAGACCTAGGATTTTGAGATGGGTATGTAAGAGCAAAAGAGAGCTAGAATGATATTCTTTTTAACCTGCCTCTCAGCATTGTTAATGGCAGCAGGGTGGGGTTCTAAAGGCAGAGCAGGAATGGCTTACAACCTATAGCAGAGGATCTGGGGAGTGGGGCCCTGGGGAGCTGGGAGAGGGAAGCAGAGCTGGAGGATGTTTCCATTCCATGACAGTGGCTTTTGCCTTTGAGGCAGCAACAGTAATATTTCATGTCTTCTGTGGTGTCTCCTACCTTTAAATGTCAGTCTCTGCAGCCGCCTTATCTCCTGTAGCACATTTCAATTAGGTATTCCAAATCACACTCTTTTCTTCCAGGACAAATATGCCAGAGGTGATATTTACTGTTACAGCAGTGTTTTAAATACTTGGGGGGAAAAAGGCCTAGTGAATAGCAATTTTTCCCTTATAATAATAATAAAACACAGTAATCATAGAGAGAAGAGGTGAATTCTGGGTTTGATGCCAGTAACTGGCTGATTGAAGTGAACATCTTTTGTCCCCGCCCTCTTTTGCTCCCCTCCTCCCATTCCTGCCTCAGTGTGAAGGTTTTAAAGCTTGGCTCTGTCAAGAGCACACTCCCACATCTTCTTCATTGAGTTCACAAATGCCTCTTAGAATGGTTTCTGTCTAGAGACAATTGGACTCCTACTTCACCCACTGCCTGTTCCTTCCTTTGTTTTGATGAATGTTTGCATGAAATCAGAATCAATATTTCTCTAGTAATTTACCAGGCACTAATTCTTGTCACCAATGGGGCATTTTCAGCTCTCAATAGAACACCATCAACCCCACCTCCAGGAGGTATATGGTTGAGAAACTTGTGTTTTGGGATCAAGTCTCAATTCCTTGGCCTGATATTGCATTTTTCAGCTTATACCCATTTGTCCACTGGACTGATGTCTTCATTGCCTCCCTAGCAGATTTTGCACGTTCCTCCATCCAAACCTCGTGCAGTCCTCAAACAGTGCTTGGCACATGGTGGTGGTGGTGGTGTCTTAGTCATTATTCTCCCCCATATTGAGAATCCTTCCATTAGATCTCTTCTCCACATTTTTGATTCCTGCCCATATTTAAGAGATCAGATTAGGTCCCACTTCCTCCCTTAAGCCTTCTCTGACCTCCTTAGCACTCCGTGCTGCCCTGCTTTCTGAATTTTTAAAGTGCTCATTATCATCACCACTCGTTTGGCATTTGGCATGCACTGTTTTATACTGTTTTGAACATTCACATGTTGTCTACCCAAGTAGATTGTAAGTGCCTTATCGGCAGGGGTAAATTTGCCCTATGCTTATTGCATATCCCCTCAGAGTCCAAGGTAGTTCCTTGAATGTAGAAGGTGCTCAGTTAATATTCATTGATGAAGTGGACAGATCAAGGAGTCAATGAAAGCCAGGATCCTAAGAAGCCTGCCTTTTGGTGCCGTTCTACTCAGTTTGGACATCATAAACTTGCCTAAAACAAAGCCTTTCCACTATAAACCGAGTTCTACTACGATTTCTCAGAAGTGAAGGCTCTTGCCCCAGCCTGATCCCTGAAACCGATGGTTCAGGTCAAGAGCTTTCCTGCATGAGAGAGTTCTCAAAGTGTCTGAGGTTTGCCATATCCAGTGCCTTGACAATCAAGGTGTCTTGATCATTAGAATGAAGGGGCTTATAATGTCAAATTCAAGTCCATAGCAGACTGGAGTAGAATCTCATACAAGTTTCAGTTTTGTCTCTGCCATTTACTAGTCAATTTCTCTATGCCTCAATTTCCCCATCTATAAAATAGATTTAATAATGGCTGTCCACATTATGGGGTTGCTGTGGGTGCCAATGTGATAATAAATGCACAAGTATTTTGGATATTGTACAACCCTATCTGAAGGTCAGGAATCAGGTAGGCAGAATCTTATAACCATCAGCTCATGTTTACTGGGCGCTCACGCTGTACATAGCTGTGCACTGGGTATAGACAGAGCTCTCCCTGTGTAACAGTAGAACAGCTGAGGAATTTTGTATTTAGTGTGGCCTGAACTCTGATCCACAGATAGATAAAAGCTGGGAAAAGAATTATAGCCCAGCAATCACATCTGAAAGTTTAGCTGTAAAGATTAGCTTGGGTAAGAAGGGAGCTAAGTGTGTGGCAAAAATTTGACCCTGGGCATGCCTTGAACACTTTGGATTTCAAGAGATTCTATCCCTTAAACATTTCACAACACCCTGATTTTGCTCCCTCCACTCACTGAAAGTTCTTTCTCTGTGAAGACTTTTTGGTTTCTTAGTTGATCAGTTGTAGCCAACTTCCTGATCACAATTGCCCCTCCAAAGTTATCCTGGGAGAACGTGCTAAGTCTGCTTCCCCGGAAAGGACACTCTAAAAATCTGATGCCCCTGAGTGATGTCACACTGCTGCTGGCTTTGGCAGCAGCCCAGCAAGGAGGAACAGTGACTTTAGGCCCAGGGGGTCCACCTTCCTCAGCCCTGTTTTCATGTAAATGTCGCTGCTGGTGAAAGGAAGTAGATGCAGAAATATCTGCTTCCGAAGCAGAACTCCCTCTGACTAAGAGGTTGCTGGGCTTTTTTTCTCTTTTTTCTTTAAGTTTTCCATGTGGCATCAGCAGCTGAGTAAGGGAAAGCTAAGGGGTTTAAGCGTGCTGGTGCTCACTGGGCCAGATTAATAACCCAGAGCCTTCCAAACTGACTGTTTGGGGTGTGACAGACTAGCCAGAGAGCACTGGGTTGTGGCAAACCCTGGCTGGAAAACCAGACTCTATCAGAAGTGGGAGTTGACTGCAGTGATGAAGTGACAAGCTTTCCACGCTTCCTCCCTGCCTCCACCTTCCTCCTTGCCTTGCCTCTCTTTCCTCCCATTTTACCGTGCGCTTCTGAGATGGCGGCACACCAATGGCTCCAGCCTCTGACAGCTGCTGCCCTCTGCTGGCGAGAAAGCGTCAGTCCGTTTGGGAGGTTCTGAGGTCTGTAACAAGAAACGAGCTTTAATGCAGACCAAGTCCAGTCTGTGGCTAGTGTGTGATTTGACTTGGGGAAGAGCAGAAAGATTCAGAGTGCCCCTTCCACCAAAATATTTCCTGAGTGACCTCAGCTTGGCACAGGTCTTTGGAATCCAACCCTTAGGGATTCATTGCTTTGAAGCCTTCAATTCCCTGTTCAAGAGGAGTGTCCCTCGGGGAGGCGACTCCTGGCTCCTCCTTACCTTGGTCAGACGTTGTAGTATTGAGGTTCTCCACCATGGATGATCCTTAAAAACCGTTTGTGACTCTGGTTGCTGGATTACCTAGACACAATCCTTTCTTGATGGAAGGCAACAGAGGGAATTTGAGTCTTGAGGGGGCTGTAGAAGGGTGGGCCTAGAAGTAGTCTCTTGGCTCAAAAGGAGCCATCCAAGAGTCGGGGTTCTGAGAGATCTGGAGGAAGAAGAATAGGAAGAACCAGATGAGAGTAAGGAATATGGTCCAGTTATGAGAGAGGAAGAGTGTCTAAGAAGGTAGATGATAAACTGGCCCTTATTACTTCTCAGCTTTCCTCGGAGCTGGAAATGCTGGTAGACTGGCTTCAGGAGGAAGATCCCCGTCTCTAACAGAACTATAGAGTGATCTTGGTGCTTCTCTGGATCTTCAGCTTAGAATACAGCCCAGCCAGACGGGAGCTATGACCTCACTGACCACATAGTAATTCTACTGGAGGGATTTATTTTCCTACACGAGCTCCTGCCAAGACTCTTGGTTAGAGCTAATGGGGCTCCCCCAGCCAGCGAGCGTCTCCTAGTGATGTGCGTAAACAGTGCCAGGCAGGAAATAGATTTCCTGTTCTTAATGGGCTTGTTAAACCTCTTATTGAGTGGGATTTAAATGACTTTAGTATGAATAATAATAGGAAGCAAGCATTATTATTAGTAGTAGAAAAATTATGATGTCAGCTCTGACTGCCCCTTCCCATTTTAATCCTGCCAGCTGGAGGTCCTTTTGCCAATAGAGCCCAGGGATGGGTGGTGAGTGACACTGGGACCAATAATTGGGGGAGATGGCAGACGTTTGTCTTTGTTACCTGCAGCCTTCCAGTGCTGAGCCCTTTTCCACTTTTATAGTCTTTCCTCCTTCATCATCTCTTTCATTCAGGGTTCTCAAGCTCTCATCCTGTCAGAGAAGGACCTACAAACTTCCTTCTCTCTCTTTATTTTACTTTGGGTTGAAAGGCATGGACAAAGGTTCTAAGGTTAAATTAAGGTATTAGGTGGAGGAGATTTTAGAAAGGGTGGTGGATCTTGGAAGAAGCCCATGTAGAAGCAGGGCTAATGTTCTCATCTCTGATTTACAGCTGGGACTGGAGGTATGAAATGTATCCCAGGATTTAGTAATTTATGTATCAGTTTCACTGTTTTTACCATAGTTTCCTGCAACTATATTGGTTTTTTTTTTTTAATACTTATTCTCTCATTTGACTTAAGTAGATTTGGCATCATCTTAAGCAGTATGTCTGTGAAATCATGGGTTCAATGTATGAGCCAGGTTTTTTTACCCAATACATATTAAAATGAATACCTAACAGCTAAATTTTTTAAGAAGTTTGTCCGTGTGGCAAGTGTGTTATGCCCTCGAAGGAAAGTGTACCACACTTCTGGAAGCACTGCTGTAGAGTAGTGGCTGTCAAATTTTAGTGGGCATAAGAAATACCAGCGAAGCTTGTTAAACTGTAGATTGCTGGGCCCCTCCTTCAGAGATTCAGATTCAGCAGGTCTGTGGTAGAACCTATGACTTGCAGTTTTAACAGTTTCTCAAGAGGTGCTGATATCCAGGGACCACACTTTCAGTAGCACTGGCCTCAAGGACAAGTGCCCGTTTTCCAGTTCCACACATGTAGATTTCCTCATCTGAAAATGGGGATCGTACCTATTTCAGAGGATTCGTCTTAGTTCACGGACTTGGTGGCTTAAACAACAAATGTTTATTCCTCACGGTTGTGGAGGCTGGAAAGTCCAAGATCAAGGCACTGGCAGATCAGCTGTCCTCACACGACCCAGAGAAAAATCATTTCTCTTCTTATAAGGGCACTAATCCCATTCATGAGGGCTCACTCTCATCCCCTAATTGCTTTCCAAAGGCCTTGGTTCCTACTGCCATCCCTTTGGGGGTTGGGATTTCAACATATGAATTCTGGGGAATATAAACATTCACTCCATAACAATGTTTATGGCGTTAAATGAGTTATTTACCGTCTGTAGAACACCTGGCACATAGTGGATACTGTGTAAGGTGGAATGATTTTTCTTGGAGCCATTCTACCCATTTAGGGTTTTTAAAGCTGTAGGGCTTTTTAGGGCTTTGCTTGAAGATCAGATGGGAAATGCAGGGAATTCTGTCAGGTTAATTCTAGTTCTAAATTTAAGCCCATTATGCAACTCTGGGAGGCTAGGCAGTTCTCCAGCAGCACTCGGCTAGTATTCTATCTTACAGAACTCTGGCAAAAAGAGACAGTAGGGTCTTCATTCCTCTCTGTCTGGTCAAGTGCTGTGTTGAGGGCTAAGGAAATGCAGTAAGTGTGAGTGGATCCTTGCTGTGCTTACTGTGTTCTGAGAGAGAGACAGGCAGACAAAGACTAGCTTACAATTTAAGTGATTGTATTTGTGATTTTTCAAAGCTGCGCAGTAGTTGACCCCCATTCTGTGTTTGAAGAGTTCACCAGTGTAAGTCTGAAAGGGAGACAGGACCCTTATTCTATTACTGAAACCCAAAAGCCTAGTTTCACTTTCCCCAGCCTCAGAGAACCATGTGAGCCAGGCTCAGCAAATGGGAGGAAGAACTCACTCTGGTGATGGCGGTGAGGTGGAGAGGGGTGGGGGCTGCAGCCCATCTGGGGTGCAGTGGTGGCAGTGCCAGCAGCAGAGGACCCCATTAGGCTGTTCCTGGAACATCATCCTTGCTGTTGTGGAAGCCTCCTGGCATTTCTACTCATCTTCCACATATGATTCTCAAGATCTTTCATCAAATCCTTTTCTATTTCACACAGTAAATGATGCAGAGCCAATGATGGTTTTTAGAGTAGTAAAGTGACATATCACAAACTATTTTAAAGATGACTGACCACCATCTGGAGCATGGATTAGAGGAGGAGTAACTCAAGGCAGAGAGACTAAGGAGGAGCAGTTATCTGAAGAAGTGAGGGTGGAGATGAGAGGAGAGAGGAAGAAATATTTAGGAGGTAAAATTGACCAAGACTGATGATTGGAGGCCTGATTTTATATTTGAACTTAGAAGACAAAAATTAATTTTCAGTTTTATGTGCATCTTTAGTTGCCTTTTGGAGATAAATATCCATTTTGTGGGCAAGGTAGGTACCCCAAAATGGATGAGAAAACAAGAGAAAAGGTTGTTGAATAGGGTTCTGTTTGGAGTACAGCTTGGCTGTGGTCTCCATTTCAAGTCTTTTCAACTCAACAAACATTGATCATTTATTAGATGTTAGACATTGATAGTTATTTAAGGACACCATTTCTTTCGATTCTGGTGTTGAAAACGAGTAGAGATATAGAGGGAAAAATCCACTTGATCTTACACTAACACACACAATTACTCAACACAACATAATATGCATGTTGGTCTTGAGATTCCTTGAGGCCCAAACGAAACATATGATAATTCTGTACTAGAACAGGGTATATACTGTAAATTTTTAGCTGCTTGTATAAACCTCTCTCTTCTTTCCTCTCACTTGCAAATAACGCACTGAGTTATCACCTCCCCAACCCTGTGAACTGAAGGGCTCACAATGCAACGTTCTTTTTGCTGAATGAATATATGTGCTGCCAAACTTACACATTTGCTCCTTGCGGTATGTTTATTGGGAAGCTTATACCACTGTCTTCTTTGCTTTTTGGAAAAGGCTGTGGGTAGATCCATGATGCCAGCTATTTACATACCTCGCTCCTGCCTGCTCTTTCAAGGCTCTTTGTTCAAGTGTCAGTACTGCTTTGTAAAACATGAACAGAGTTGGGGGGAAAGTAATTACAGTTCACGTCCTGTGTTTCTACTGATGTGATGTTGAGCTGCCTGACTGCACTCTTTCCTGTTGCTTCTCTCCTCCTGTCTTTTCCATCCCAAGCTCACTCTCCACCCCTGCCCCCCTCCCCTCACTTGCTCTTTTGTGTGTCAGAGAACCACATACATGGAAGGTCGCTGGCCTTCTCATGGCCACTAGGTAACTGGGTCTAGAGAGCCTGCCCACCTTCAATGTGTCAAGATGCCAGGGCCCTGGCTGCCTCCACAGGGAAATCTCTGGTGTGTTCAGTTCCCAGAGGCCATGATGGGCTGCCCTCTGAACTTAGACCTGAAACAAAACCTTCTTTTGGGTCAGACCAGTCCAGGAGATTTTCATGGTTATTTTAGATTGTGGAGACTTCTCATTTCCCTAGAGGGCATGTTTTCTATATGAGTGCTCTCCTAACTTCTCTGTCTACATTTAATGATGTAATAAATCAGAGTTTGGTTACAGGCACATTCACACCTATATCCTAAGATCATTAGTGGATACCTTTTCCTACGGTCAAAATTCCACCGTTGGTGGTGGGGGGTTGTTTAGAGTCATGATTGTCTAACTTTTGAGTTTCAAAATAGTATTTTAGAATTAATCATGTTGACCAACATGATATTGTCAACTAAGGGTTATTTTTTAAAAGAACATTTTATCAACTGTTATTGCCACTGTATCATAAAAGAAAGGGTCCTTTTAACTCCAAAATGTAGGAAAGACATTCTTTCAATATAAAGGACAGTTCTTTACATTAATTAAATGTAGGTTTATTTTAAAAATCTGATGTCTTTTTGAGAAGAAGAATGGTATTTCCTGGAAATATGCCATGAAAATGGTGCCATGTGGCTTCCCAGCCCTTGGGGATGTCATGGCAAGGGAATGTCTTTTTCTGTGTGTCATCTGTAAATGCTGGCATGGTGCTAGGTGTTCAGTGGCCCAGCGTGTTTCATCTCCCTTCCTGAGAGCTCCCAAATTCCTTCAACCTTGGGTGCTGAGTGATTATTTGCCTTGAATTATTTTATGCAGTTTGCCATTATTTGATATTTATTCATTGAACACAAATTTACTGATTTGAACCTTTACACACACACACACACACACACACACACACACACACACATGCACATATTCTGTATTTCTTAAACATACAAAACACTTTTCGTTTTCTTTTTGATTTCCTTATTGGTAAAAAATTATGGTTTATCTTTTTTATGACTACTATGATTATAATCAATGTGATCATTGATAAAATGTTTTTTACTAAATAATAAAGACTTGTGGTTTTATTAAAATAATTAATATTATTGATGATGTGCCACGTTGATAAGAAAATGCTAGGGGAGAAGGTTTGGTAGATATATAGTAAGTTTAGTTTTGGGCATAGCAAGTTTGAAATTGCAGCAGAACTTCCAGATGGCGTCACATCCAGAGTTCTCTTTTCTCCCAACTATATTTTACACTTTTGTCATCAGAGGCTATGCTTTTTCCTCTTTGTTCCTCCCTTGTCCAGTGAAGAACACATAGTAGATTATGAGTAAATGCTTGTTTGTTGCCTTAGGAACTAAGTAGTTGGAAACTGGTGAAAATTTCTAGGAAACATGGAAGTTGAGAACTGGTGATCAATGAGTGACTATGGGACAGTAATACAACAGACATATCACAGGTTTGGGGGATTGCATTTGAGAGGTTTCAAGCGTGTACATGAAATGGAAGCTGAAAAATGAGTACCTGAACTATACAGCTTTTTAAAAAGTCCATTTTGTAAGACTAATAACTTGGGATTCAGAAAATCATTGGATGGCTTAAATGGGATAAAATTTTTGTCTAGAACACTCCCCCTCTGGGGATTCCAAGAAGTACACTCATGCAAAGAAGTTCATTTATTCATTCATTCAACAAATGTTCATTGAACACCTACTACATGCTAGCGTTATTCCAGGTGCTGGGAATGTAGCAGTGGATGAAACAAAGATTCCTGACCTCAGAGAGTTTATATTCTAACAGAGAGTGATAAGCAATCCACAAAATAAACAAATATATAGTATTCTAGGTAATGATGAGTGCTCTGAAGAAAAATGAAACAAAATGTAGAGAGAGGATGGGCTAGGGTGGTGGTGGTGATTTCAACTTTAAATAGGATAAACAACAAGACTAGGATAGACAGACAGCCCTGGTGCAGTGTAGTTTTCCAGGAACCAAAGCAAGATGTTCAGGAAGCGAGAGGCCTCGAATTCTCCGAGTGCAATCTGACTTTGCATCCCAATTAACAGTGACAGCCTACTGCTTTAAAATAGGAAATAAAGTGGAAGGAATGCAAACGCTTGATAGTTGACCTGACATTCACTGTTGCAAGATTGGAAACGTACAATAAATGTCACTGATGGAGCAATATTCATGAAGTAAAAATGTCATTTTTCAATTTGGCATGAGGATGGTTTGACATGTATTAGTCGTGCACAGAATATTTTCATAATTAATGCATTAATAATGCAGCTGTCCTTTTTCTCCCCACCCCAAATTAAAAAGGAGGACATGGGGAGAGTCAGGGGAAAGAGTAGCTCTCGCCCTGATCAGACCTTTTCTGCCAGCATGTGTCTCCTCCATTTCTGTGGCATTGGTTCTGATTGGTATCAGTCCAGATTTATCCATCTCAATTCTTCCCTCTTGTTTCTGTGAACAACACCATGGCCTTTTCTACTGAGGGCTTTCTTCTTAATTTTCAACAGTACTTTAAAAAATCTTTCTAAAGATGTGCATTTACTGTAGAAATGACACATAAACAAAATCAAGGATATAAAAATCTCCCATAATCACACCACCCAGAGAAAACAACTACTAATGTTTTAGTGTTTATGCTTCAGTCTTTTCTTTTAGTTATACATATTTACAAATATGAGACATTCTATGTATAGTTTGATGATCAATTTAATACATAGTAAATATTTTTTCATTTTAGTAAATGCTTTCCTACAACATCCAGTGGCTGGGTGGTACAGATGTAGCATGATATAATTAATTCCCTCTTATTGTCATGTAAGTTGTTTCTATATTTTTGATATACCATGTATATAGTTGCGGTAAGCAAACATAGCAAAATCTTTGTTTATATCCATGATGATTTATTTTGGACGATTCTTAGATGTGAAGCTGATGGGAATATTAGTTCTCTTACCACAGTAATGCTACAAAACAAACAAAACCTTTGTGGCATAAACAATAAGCATTGTTGTTCACGTGACTGGCGTCAGCTGGGCATCCACTAGCTAGCTCGGCTGATCTTGGCTGGACTTGCTGTCAAGCCTGGGTGTTGCTTGGCTGGCTGTCAGCTGATCCAGGCTAGGTGGGGCTGGGGTGACTGAGGGAACTTGGCTTCGCTTTGCTATTGTTCCCCAGCAGGCCGCCCCAGGCATGTTCTCGTGTCATTGGCAGAGACACGGCAAGCTCATTCTTCTATGTGCTTTTCAAGTCCCTGCTTGTCTCACATTTACTAATATGGCGAAGTGAGTCATGTGACTAAGCCCAGTGTCAAAGGTCAGGGCATTCTGCCTCATTCAGTTGGAGGATGCATGGCAAAGTCATGGATTCAAGAAGAGTAAAAAATTAGGGCTAAATTTGCAATCTCTCTGACTGGGCCAAAAGGTATGCTTCTTTATTTTTAAGGCTCATGATAAATGTTTCCAGATTGCTCTTGAGAAAGCCTGAACCAGCCCCACCAATGGTGTGAAAGACTTGGCGGTTTTCCA